GCTGCGTAAGAGCAGTTATCTGACTTCTTTTCTCGCTGGTTTGGTTGTGTAGAGGTAGGCTTGTCAAGACGACGAACCTTATCTCTAAGCTCCTTTGAGACGTTAGATAGCGAGGAGATCTGATCTCCCAGGATTACAGCGTTCTTCTTGCTAACTCTTCCTGTCTCAGTGTAGTCTCTAAAGACTTCTACTAGGTCGAGTAGGCTAGTCTGCTGCGAGGGGTTATTTTCAGCTAGATTAGCTGCTTGGACTACTAGGTTTCTCGCTATTTCTAGCGCCTCTTGTACTGATATTGCCTTCGGAGTTCTGCTTTGAGTACTGAATCTAAGCGTAGCTCCTCTAAATGGTGAGAAGTTGCTCCTAGTGCGTATTTCTGGCGAGAAGTTTGCCTGCCGTTTATTTGGTGGGAGGATTGGTATTTCAACTACGCTAGGTATAGTAGTCTGCGTAGGCGTCGCTGGTTCCGTGGTTTCCATATCTATCTCATTCTGGATCTGAGCTTCGATTTCTGCTCTCGCCTGGGTGCCTGGCACGTGTACGTCGATAGTATCACTATCGGGTGGCATTTTGATTACTAATCCACCTGGTCTGTGTGTTTTTCGGTGAAAAATAAGACGTGTCTAAAGTGATCACTTTAACAGCCTATAGCTCCACAGCGCGTGGCGTGCACGCTTTAAAGGTGATTGTAATCGATTTCTCGCGAGGGGTTTATATATATTTGACTAAAATTACACCTATTCTAGAAAACTCGAAGTTGTCTGAGATAGCCGCGGTGAGCGCAGATCTGCTGTAGTTACGTGGCACAACGGAGTTTTGGAAACCAATTATACCTTGGAGGTACCACTTTAAGATGGAGATCCGTCTTGCCGAAGGAAGGAAAACTTGCATACCAGTTCCGCGCTAGGCAAGGACTCTTTTGTTAGCATTGCGGAAATACAACAAAGCTCTGTGTTATCGCACACGACGCTGTCTCTGGGGTTATTTTTAAGAATTTGCCAAGTGGAGAACAAAGCTTAGCCGAATGAACCCTGAATCTTTTGGGATTCAAGCAATTCTGCAACGGCTTAGTCGCTTGGCGATAGCGCGGATTGATCTGAACTTTGTTCTCTTATTCTCGCTGAGTATGGAAGATATTCTCCACAACCCAGTGATTCTGATGCTACAAAGACATCCCCAGTCAAACTCGTATACATAGAGTGATGCGAGGTTGAGATTCAGGCTGAATAGTGTCAGACTTGCTCTTATCTTCAGGCGTCTTGTGACGGACCCTACGGAAGGCCCCCAAGCCTAGAGCATTTAGTAAATCCTCAATCTGTGGGGCGACGGGACAACCGTCTAAAGCACACTAAGCGAAGATCAATGGGGTCCAAGGCAGATATGGTAGGCAGTTCGACAGATGTTGGCAACGAGAAGTCAACTCGAGAAGAAGCGTATATAAGTCTTAAGCATTCCTCATAATTTCTCATCATCACACTCCCATCGATCACTCATCTCCCTGAACTTGCCTTCAACCGCAAAAATGCAATTCACCACCATCCTCTGCTGGGCCGCCCAAGCTGTAGGCGTCTTCTCAGCTCCCCATGCCGGCAACGAGAGCGAAGCCCCCGACTTCGCCAACTCCTCCGTCCCACCCCCAAACACACCATGGATGAGCTTCACTGACAAAGCCGTATGTAATATCAAGTTTCCTAAGTAAGCAATCACTGACTCCTCCATCTTGTAGAGTCCCCTCTCCGCCCGTGGTTGCGTCTCGACCGCTCCATACGGCTGTAATCTCGGCAAAAAGCGATGCTGGAAGGTCTGTGGTGATGGCGGTCAGTGGTGCTGGACCGCTCGTGGCGACGGATCTGGAGACTGGTACGGATGCACCAACTGGGGCTCGTGCAACCAGCAGCAGTCTTGCGGTATTAACTGCCACAACTCCAAGGAGTGCGGATGCAACTGCGGCTGAGAAAGGGAAATGATGGACTCGATGCATAAGTAGTCCTTAGAGACTTGAGTTGAGATTTTGAGAATATATGAAAAAGAGATCAGCTTGTATGACCGTATTTGTGAATGAATATTTGCAAATTATCTGGTGACTTGTGATGTTTAAGAGGTATAGGCTGCAATACTTCCAAGTTTTATACGAAGGGACTATACTGCTATGCAATTCTGGTCTGCACTAATGCAGATACGACTTGATGTTAAAGCTCCGCGTATATTGTCTCAAGAAGTGATGCACTCATGAGAACTGGCATATAAATTATCATGGCAAGATGATTTGGACATTATCCCAATGTGAGTTTGATTTTCCAACCAGAAATGTCTAAACCAGAAGATAATGGCATCAAGGCAGATGATGAGTTTAATTTACACGAACATAGGGCTCTTGTGGTTCATTAGTTCCACGCTAGACCAGCGGAATCACCATTTCAGTGAAGCGAACAACATCCTAAAATTTCCCACGTCATGTACAGCCAGTACATTTCTTAGAAAGGTATTTCCCAAGAGATAGGGTGCAGTGCCACCTACTTTTGGTTGCAAGGCAGGCTGGAAGCCAAGCCAGCACAGCGTAGTCGAATCGTTGGCTTGGCCAAGCCAACCATCAAGGAGCACGTCTCTTTTGTTGATTGGGAGGTCCGTACCATTGATGCGAATGCTTACGTGAGGGGCTGTAGCATTGCAATTGGCGACATACGCGCTGTCGTACACCGAGTAATATGCTGGAGGCTGTATCGCTTCGGCAATGGCTTTCGCAGTCTCGTCAGTGACATAGCTCCAGGGGGTTCCAGTATCGGTGAGAGTGAATATCTCTTGGCCGCTGTCGGCAAAGACACCGGGAACCCATGGTACGAAAGTCTGGTTGATCGTGAATCCATCTGGCCTGACATTCCAGTGAGTGTACTTATTCTTCACACCCCAGGGCGCATACGTCGTAGTGCTGACTTTTGACTGGGCCCAGACTCCAGTAAAGGGAAGTCCGTCAAGTGGCGCACCTCCTACAGCCACGAATCCAGATACACTTAAATTTGCAGCATTCTCCGTTCTGTTGCCAAGATTGACTGAGAATATGGGTTTCTCCAATAAGCCCTGATCGACTGCATTGAGGATCCAAGTTTTGGTAGGAATCCAGCTGTGATTCGGGTCGGTTTTGTTATCAAGGTCTGGGTTATCTCCTGGATAGTATGCAGTATAATTACCCAACCCCCACCCTATTATCGTCAGAAACACACGCATCCGGCTGCTAGGTTGTTTGAGATATTGCAAAAAAAGGAAGATAAACTCACCGATAATTCCACTAGTCATATTGTTCGTACTGTCGAGAAAGACTTTGTCCGCCAGCGACATATGCTGATTCCGGACTGTCAACCCTGCGATGGTCACGTCTTCGAGACCAACAGAGCCTCTGGCAAATTCTGCGCTGAGATATGTCAGGTTAAGATGCATATTTGCTACTCGTCCTCCAGTATAGTCGGGAGGACCCAACGATGCGAAGCCGCATGCGGACTGAGGTCTGCATAGAGTATGAGTCAATTTACAATTCGCGGTCAGCTTTCGCATCATACTTACTTCACTTTGTTGTCGATATCAAGACATGTGAAATTGGCACTGGGTAGCCAGAATGAGCTGCTTCCAGTATCAAACTCAACAGCATAAGTCTTTCCGCCGATCGTAACATCAAGGGCATAGCGCGTTCCGTCCAGGATAGTTCGCGTGGGACCGTTGTGTTTGCCAGCGGATCGAGCGGCTATTTGATTGAACACCTCATTGTTAGCTCTCCCTCATGCTGCTTCGAAATAAGATTCCTGCTTTACCAATTGAATTGTCCGGATTACGCTTGGCAAGCGGGTTTAGCGCGTGAACAGATCTCGCAACGGGAATATCGAGTTCGCGAAGGGCATCAGCGCTATTTTCGAAGAATGCTCCGGATGAGAGTGGGATGAGTGTCTGCAACACCAAGGCTGCCTGGCATAATTGGCGACGAGACATGATTGAGGGCACCGATGATACCGGACACATACTGTAGGAGGGAGGAGTAGGATTGTCTACATACTTATGTATATTTCGGAATGCTAGCTTAAGACGCTAAAGGTATAAGCATGGTGGCCCTGCTAGCTTAGTTCTTAGCTGGACACCAAAACCGTGCGGGTTGTTGCGGACTGGTTCTTTGGACTTCAAGAAATAAGCACTACGTAGTATGTGAACCGTGTCTTCTCCGGTCAATAACATGACCCTTGGTCACTCCAACCAGTCCTGACAGGCGTGCAATTTACAAGAAAGTATCGAGTATCCCTACTCTGACGCTCGACCACTGATCGCAATGCTAGACGCTGCAAGGCTGAGATTTGTCCCTGCCCCCCTAAGTCATGCGTCTAGCCGTCCCGAGAGTAGAGACGGAATCGGCGTTATTCTTAAACCATCCCTGCTACTCGGCCAATAACGACCGCATAAAGATTTTGGCCCGATTTGGGAACCACTCTCAAGTCGTATACGGAAGCGACGATTAGGTTTCGAGGTCAGATTGGCGGAAATGGCCATGTGTATGTGGGAAGTTGTACCTGTTCTCGATCGGCCTCTTGGTCACTTAGAAGCTAAACGCAGTTACCATATACTTAGACCGCCTAACTGAGCGTCTTGCAGAGCTCTCAGAGGTGCGATACACCGCAAAGATTTTTTTCTCGGCTTTTTTTTCTTAGCGACAGTATGTCACCCCATCTTATAAGCCTGATTTCGGCTTAACGTGCCGACAATGCGTCGCGTTTTAAGGCCGTGCATGTCAGCACATCATGAATTAGGTACCAAGACATACGTACTACGATAAGGTCAACTGCTGCAAACACCACAACACATAGTCGATGAGTCTCAATCTGAGTGGACATAGCCATGGATATTTCAACCTCTCGAATCATGCTTGCTGTCACCACACAATGGACGTCGCGCGTGCTTCTAATGTGCCCAGGAAGAGATCAGTTTATCTTGACTACTACGTACGTGCATCACTAACACAACAAGTCGCCACAACATTGAGACAAATACGAGCCGCTGAGAGTCCAGAACCGTGCCCATTCTGCATAGCTGACCACCGTATAGCAATAAACAGCCTTTCTATCCCAGGGATACGCGTACTACTTCGCTATGAAAAGCGCGTCGCAGCAAATTTCCCATCTGTCTAGCAGGAATAGTACTACCTGCTCACCTATTTCTTCATCCATCGCCAGGGCGCGGATCTTTGAAGTTTGGATTCGTATCTTTGAGCGGTTTTCTACGCCCGTGTCTCCGCACGTACCATCGCACTACATCGATGACGATGGCTGCAGTACTTACGTAGCGGCAGAGTTGTCATACTACTATTGAAACGCGCAGGAGTAGCGCAACACACAGAAGGCTGTTGCACTAATATATGTCCTGTACACCTCGCCCGTATGTGCAATAGCGATTGCGGCGACGAGTTCGGTCGTAGTGATTGGTTCATCCGCGATTGGGCCTGCAATAGTTGGTAGCACCACAAACTGTCGCCGCCATTCGTGGGCTGCACCAACTACGGGTGGTCCGGAAGCCTAGCTAGACAACCTCGCCAACTAGAAACATCGACCGAAAAAGAAGTACTATGATTGGTACAAAGACGAAGACCGAATTTAGAAGAGGACATGCTGTCTTCTCTTGTCGGCATTGTCGATGCTACCATCGGCGTCAAGAAGGGCGAGGCAGAGCACAAAGCACGAAGGCAGCACTTGATAACTGTCGTGACCTCAATCAGGCCAATCGCTGGAATTTGCATAAAAGCAGGCGCTGCATTTACTGCCGCCATCGCAGCTAATCACGGCTCGCGATCGAGCAAGGCGGTGAGCTTGGAGCGGGCGTGAATCACGTGACTAACACACTTAAGATGTAAGTACGGACACAAAGGCTCCACACTAATATACTCCATGTAATTCGCAGAACCAGGTAGTTCCGGCAATGCTCCTTTCCTTCCGCCAACTTACCAGGCTAGGCGAGGAGTTGGTGTTTACAACCTGTCCGCCAACGAAACTACTTATTTGCGATCTGTCGCATTGCAAGTAATAGTCGTGTTATAGCCTTGAAGACTTTATTGATACCCTAAATATCAATAGTTCTCTAGCAGTTGATGGCTTCTGCGAGACACATGCTTTGGATCCTACCCAACGCTCACAGCGATTAAAGGCAATACGAAAAGCAAAGAAAGCAGCACTTGATGAATGGAATCTCGAGAAACGCACTGGGGGGAAGTCCGAGGAAGGAGTACCCGATGGTAATCCTTGCCTGCAAGCCAGACCGATTAAGTACCAACTAAAATACCGCCCCCTTCTCAGATTGGGCAGCCCTCACTTGCGCAGTTTCCAACCTTGACGGCACTAGAGTTTGTGCAGCAATTATCCGCCATTAACGTCATACGCAACTACACTATATCTATGCCAGCATCCCGTCACCTCGAATGACTCTTGTCGACGATGAATGGCAACAGTCGGAATGATGCTTCATTGTTCCTTCTGTTTTGCAAATACAGACAAATAATAGGGTGCATGCATTCAACACCACATAGAGACTACATGGACCTCCACGAGGAACGCTGTGCTAAACACAAGAATGATTTCAATCCTACATACTGCTCAATTCGAGGTTGAAAATCAGCTCGAGAGTTTAAGAGTTTGCTTGTGCTGGAAGAACATTTCACTAAGGCGTACGGCAGAATGAACAGAGAAAAGGTACAGGGACTAATCGAAGGTACGCAGGAACGGGAAATGTCATATAGTAGGTAGTAATGTACTTGTAGAATATCCAACTGAAGAAGCATCTTTCTCAGCGAGCGACTCAACATATCGCTATGAAGTGAGTTTTTTGGTAGTCACGGACTGTTTGTCGCTGAATGTGTGTTCCAAATGAACAGCTGTAAAAGCTAGATAGTGGAATGTGGAATATAGTGTCTGTGATTGAAAACATTACCTAAACTTTCAAACCTAAAGAAATAAGGCATCAAGAGCATATGCAGAAGAATCACTCTCTACCAAACAATCTCACAAAACTATCATGTTCACTAAATATGCGCTGTCCAGCCCTATTTATTAGTATTTATAAACTTAAAAATTGTCGCGGTACGGGCTCACAGGTCGGGAAGACAACCACGAGCACAGGAGGATCTATTGCTGCAGACTAATCAGACAGACTCTCACTACATGTAGTATAGAGTAATGCACAGGATGTAGCTTAAAGAGCTATCTAGACCGCGTTGCGGCAGTTTTGCAGAATCTGGGTGCTCAGGCCCATATCCAGATTCTGTCTGCAGCCAATGAGAACGGCCCTAGCAGCCACCCGAGAGTTTCTAGCTTTCTGCACTTAGTCCCTATCATCGCAGCTTGTACATTGCGGGAGGGTCTGAAGATCTGCCGCGGGGTTCAAGCCGGCGCTAACAGCAGCGCTAGGGACTTGACCACACCCCGTCGCGATCCCATTCCCCACGACACCAACTTTGTCGATCAAGGGGCATACGTGATCAGATCTATCAGCCATGCTTCAAGGCACGCTCGTGGGCTGCGCTCGTCGACCTGGGCGGTTTAGGGTGAGTGCGAGCCATAGTGCATCGTATGCATGGGCTGACGCTTGTGAAGCAACTCGCAGTTTGCCGTCGAGTATGCGTACCGGACGCGGGAGCGGTCAGCAGAAATGTGGGTATTATGGGTGCGTGCAAGCTACAGGGCAGTAAAGATCGGTGGTTGCTTGTGCTCGACAACGTAGACGACGCTCGCTTTGTCGTCATGTCTCGATTGCCCAGCAAGATGAGGTGGTCAACTTGAGGAGTGCCAGCTCCAAGACGTGGCGCTGAAGCTTGTGCTCAATACAGGCGTAGTTACACGTATACAAACGCCACAGATGTTGGTTCGTGCTGATCTTTTGAGGTATCAGCTAGCTTATATGGAACGGGTCTAACGAACCCCCGGTACAAGCGATCAGATGACATGACCGACCTGGAAGCCGCCATCTATGCAGCCAAGCAGGCCATTAACTCAACGCTAGACAACCGTTAAGGTTTAAGTAACTCCTGTAGAGATATATACAATAGAGCTACGGTAGACGAGTAGTATATTGAACACGATACTAACAATCCTTTATAGATCGATAACGGCAGTAGTTAGATAACTAAGGGTAAGAAGAGGTTACGCTGCCTAAAGTAGTAAGGATTTAGCCTAGATAAATCTAAACCTAGTATATAACCTAAAGATATATTATCTAGCCCTACTCTCCTTAATTTAAATAACAATATCTAGTACTACTGCTTAGCCTAGATTCGATACTATTAGCCGCCGTCTAGAAGGCGGCTGCCTAGCGAGGGAGCACAAATTCTCGAATTCATTTCCTAGTTTCCTATTGAAGTTTATCTATTAGGGCCGTTAAAAGTTAGTAAAGACTTATTTTACACTATCTATCTTTAATAGACTTAGCTAAGCTCTAATAGTAAGATTTCTAAAATTACTATAGCACCAAAGAGCTTATAGAGGATCGCCATCAGTGGTGATCAATGATTGTTGGGCTTAGTGGGTGCGCCGCTCGCTTGCCTGCGTCGCTCGCTTGTCATGTACGTTACTGATTGACCGTAGATTGACTAATAGTCTCTATATAAACAGATGAGACGACGCAGAGAATGATTAAACCCCCCCTCTTCACAATTTCTCTCACTCACCAACGAGTGCGACAATAAGTCTCGCGAAGAGAAAGTTGTTACTGTTAGGAGGGCCCTCTATGTTGACGACTTGTAATACCGCGCCTAGGTACTTTAAGTAAATGGAATATAAACACTTAAAGTTACAATAGAGACTTTGCAAGCACGTTTTGGTGGGCTGTAGCCCTCTGGATGAGATCCTGGGTGAGATCCTCGATGAGATCCTCGATGAGATCTCGGTGCGTATCTGAATGATGTTCAGGCGTAGCGCATACATGTAATAGGACTATCTACTCAAACGACGTCTCTAGGCCTCTAGCCTTGTCGTCTCTTGTTAAGAAGAGAATCCTTCTTGCTACTTATAGCACCCGGATCTGGACTAGAGAAGTACAGCCTAACCCCGTGTAATATGATTTTTGAAGCGCACAATCATCGGATTGAGATTTTCTTATCTTTGCGTGATCTTGACTAAAAGTCATGTTTAAAGTCTGTGCTTTTTTTTTTTTTTTGAGCGTGTTCGGCCGAAGTGTCAAATCCAGGTAAGAAATGTGGTGAAGACAGTAAAAGCATAAACGAAAGAAGGAAACATGTGTGATATGCAGCAGCTTAAAACATAGTCTCACGGATTTAACTATACTGATTTTCTTAGGATCCCTAAAGTTGTGAATAGTCGCCGTCAATAAGTTGTGTTGCGCAATGTAGAATCGGTGATTTCTAGTCAACCTACCTAACAACATCTCGTTCATGCGAACGTAAAACGCAAGCTCTGTCTTCTAAAATCATACTTGCACAGAATCATAACTAGACTTGGCTATCATTATCCGTCATTTGGTATCATGCGTTGTATCTTGTTAGTGGTCGGAATACAATTTGTTGAGAAAAACAACTCATCTCAATTTTTGAGCAGGTTTCCATTATTACCTAGGCCAAGCATCAAATGCTGATCCCGAGGAGATTTATACTGTTTAAAGAGGGAAAATAAAATACTCTCAACTTTGGGAGAAGGAATCAAAGCTTCCAATATTTTTACATACAATTGTAGACATTGGAAGGACGCTGCAAATCCTCTTCTATCTTCATATTCTCCAGAAACAAGAGCTGTTTGAAATTCTTCTTTATGAATAGCTCAAAGTGAATCGAGTCTAGAAGAAAGCTGGGCATTTTCTTAACACTAACAGCTGTCACGTTAATTTACTCTTACGCTTAGAATCGACACTGGCTGCGCGTGAAGGCGCAACTAGCAAATATCAAAATCACTCACGGTATGATTCCTTCTCTTAAAAAGTAAATCATCTTACCCGTATCATCGGGAAACAAACAAAGAGTTGTGGTTTATCACCACGAATAGACATAGAGCGGGGCTGAAGAGAAGCAAAACTATTGACGTAATAGCAACTGTCGCAAGGATTATACCACGCAATGTTGTTATGGGAGGACTCCACGCGGATAGCCAGCTGATCATTGATCCTTGTAATTTTGCCACTATATGAACCTGTACGTTATATTTTTTGAGATGCTGGATGAGTTTAGTTGCAGCTAAAGCAATTCCACAACAAAGTAATATATTTGTGGATATCAAGAGACCTTGTTGTAAACTCCGAAATCTGTTATAAGAGCGCAGCTATGGAAGGTAATATCATCAAACAACCACCCTTCAACCACCCCTTCAGAATCATCCTATCATCTACTTAAAGATATGAGAGCTTCGTGGATCATCATCTCTGCGCTCTGCGCCAAAGCCTATTCTTACGAATTTGAACATGGCGTAGCCTCTGATCAGCAGGCTATTGGCTCATTTGACGATGTTAGGAGCACGTATCAATGCAACAACGGTAAGCGATCTAAGAATATAGCACAACATTTAGAAAAGCTAACATCTAGTCTAGGTGCTACACCTTCTCTCGAGTGTGTTGACTCATCAACACAACCCACTTGCTCTTGTACATGTACAAACGGTATCACCTTCAATCGGAACCTGACTATGGATGCTCCGTCTACCCCATCCGGCCCCCCTATCGACAACTGTGACGCAATCAAAGCCGATTGCGACGAACGCAACCTTCAATTACAACAGGAAATGGCAGATATCGAACAGAAGAACGTCGACGCGAAGAAGGAGCTGTTAGCATGTGGAAAAGATCTCGCTAAAGCTCTGAAACCAAAGTCCTTCAAATACGATGGCTGCTATACTGCTACATCACGATCGCTAACTGGGTTGCAAATCATAGATGAGTGGTTGGCACCTTGGAGATGTGGAATAATCTGCAGTGACTTCTCTTACTATGGAGTGAAGGGTGGGAACATTTGTTGGTGTGGAAATGACGTGCTAAATTCACCGAAAAAGGTTGCCGATTCGCAGTGCAATAAAGCATGCGTAGGTAACAAGCAGTCAATGTGTGGAGGCGCAGATAAGGTTTCTATTTATGCTAGGGAAGATTAAGAGATTCACAGAGATGGCATAAGAGTGGTTGAGTGGTTCGGAGAATAGGACAGAAGGCTAGGTAACGGGTAGTGGGCGTAGTCAATGGTGGTTTGGGGAGAATGACAAGAGGTTAGGTAGTAGATAGTACGTAGGATTCATACATATCATGTCACTCTTTTATACCAACGACGATAGTCTGTTCATTTAAATTCATTGAAAACCATAGAGGCTAACTAATATAAGTTAATGAGCGACGCATTCAATATGTGTTAGCATTGAGACTTTACAAGGCGAATTGTAAGGGGCTGCGCTCTAGGTAACACCCGGATTCTGCGCTCATTATCTGAACGTTGGTCGGATGGCACGCGCGCAGATTGAATCGAGATCCCATCGAGGAGTTACCTAAAGGGCATTTACCCTGTCACAGTTCCGGCAGTTTTACAGAATTCAGGTGCTTAGGCCAGAACCCAGATTCTATGAGCAGCGAATCAGAGCGCATGCGCTGCTACCTACCTTAGCTAACACCATGACCACATGTCTGCTTTTTAAGCATTTCGGCTTCTAACTGGAGGAAAAAAACCGTTTCGTCCACTGCTATTGTGCATTCTATCAATGTTGCTTCCTAGCTCTCCTCTCATACACTCTTATTTGTTCGCGACAGTACACACGTCAGAAAAGTATAGCCTAATTTGTGCAATACCATACAATGATAAGCATTAGTGCCTAGAAAGTCCTTGAGAAAGACTATCAGCGAATAAGTCGTATATTGCGGTGTTGCCGATGAAGCCGGACCCCTAATTCTAGGTAACAGAGCCAGCGATACTCTGAGGACCTGTGTGCTTACGAAGCCACCGCCAGGTAACTAGTTATATCGTAATTGGGTTCAATGCTGACTCATCTAATACCCGTCGCGGAGGGACAAACCTTCGCGGAGAAGTAACGCTAACCAGACAAAAACCCCTAAATAATCACTGCCCGAAGAACGGCCAATACGAGCAAAATGCTAAAGCACTATTCCTTAGTAGAGCGACGGTATTAGCATCTTCAGGCAACGAAAATGGCAGCGGTCAAGGTCATGTTGCAACAGCGAGGATGAGCATCTAGCTGAACGCCCTTCGGACATCTCCTCGATAGAATTCGAGATCATATCGGCCTAGTCGTTACTCAGACAACTAGCATTGTATATAAATAGCTACATAGCTTAAAAGCCTAGCTCTCTATCGAATATAACCTCTTATATACCCAGTGTTTGCTCCCTAGAGCGTAGCCCCTTACACCCGGCGAGAGAAGCATAGATCTGAACCCCGTGTAACCGTAGATAGCACTTCTGTAAATAGTAGAATAGGGGTCTGTTATTATTACGGTTTCAATGCTGAACACGAAAGATTTATATACGCCCCTTAGATTGTTGTAGTTTAATGTATAAATAACGCTTATGATAGATAGAGGTAGATCTAAAGATCAAATAAATATAACCCTGAATCTGAAAATCTCTGCGGCTCGGGCGTAAGATACTTGCATATTGCTGGTAGTTCGTTGCGGAGACCCATTTACCAGCCTAATCTAGTAGCGTGGGCGTCTCTTCACGTGCAAATATCACCTACATCGATACGACTTAGGCATCACCTGTGTTAAATGTATCGTTGTCGTGCAATGAGAAGTACGCCAAAGGCCTTGTTGATCTCGGGCACATTGTGTTTCGCTGATTATGCCATATTCATACTATGACTACCTGCACTTATCATCACTCCAATGTGTACTACTTCTACTGTTGATACTCGTCCTACTTATCATTATCATCATCATCAACCTTCCTGCGCAGGCGCCTTCAACACTTTCTTGAGGTCAAGTACTGTCGCTGAAAACGGCGTGTGAAGCCCCTTGCCAAAATCATCGAATGTCTCACCACCATAGATCATTAGATGATCCGGTCTCTTTTTGAAGATCTGGATAGCACGTGAGTATACTGCTCCCGCAGGCGTAGCATGCTCCTCCCACTTGTCTAAAGCACCGCCATGCGAGTTAGTGTATACCTGCCTCCGGTCTGCGTCAGATACTATAATTGTACCTTGGGGTCCACCAACAGGGCTCCAGACCACATATGGGCTAGCATTGGGCACGGTGCTGTTGTTGATGACGATGGGTCGACCGACGCTCTTGCGGAAGTCCAGAGGAGAGTCAGCCATAACATAGTATACGGGGTAGTTGGAGCCGTAGGAGGAAGAGTTGCCAATTGGCAGTTCGTGTACGAGGATCCATTTCTTCAGAGGCGGGATGTAGTCCACAACGGTCATACCGGGACGGGCTGTGTACTGTTCATAGGCTACATCGTTAACGACAGGTCCCCAAGTCTTGAGATCGGTGGATGTTTGGTGAGCGAGCTTTTGTCCGTGCTTGGGGTCACGTTGGTCCGAGTAGTAGGCAATTAATTGGCCTTTGTACTGACTAGAGCGTTGTTAACTCGAAGTTCGGAAAGATATGAGGGGAATAGAACTTACAGCAGATACGGCTCCCAGATTGGTGTGGCTCCGTTTGTGGTGTTGGGTCTTCCGCCTTCGGCAATATGGCTTACAAATTGCCACGTCCTTGCCCGGTCTTTGCTAGCATATAGATCGATCTTTGTGCTATTAGGCCCCCAGCTATTACCGCTACCTAAGATTGTGCCAGCTGGGTAGCCTGCCATAGGCTCGGTCAATTCTGTCAAGGCAGGCTGCGCACTCATACCAAAGCCATTAACAGTATCGCGCAAGTCAGAAACGTGCTTCCACGTAGCACCACCATCCTTAGATTCAAAAATAGGGAAGTAGTTAGGCGAGTTTCCAGATAGCGATGCAGTTGCGATAATAGTTCCATCCCGCAACTCAGTGTAGCGAGGATACGTGATACTCTCGCGGCCAGTTGTCTGGTAGATAGTGTTGTTCACAAAAAAGCCCCATGGCTTAGGGGTGCTGGTCTGGAAAACTGAAGAAGGGAAGGCAATGACGCTACTGACAAAGACAGCAGCTGTTGCCAGGGTGGATGTATGGAGCCTCATAATTGCAATATCTTCTGCTGGAAAAGCCCAGGTAGCAGTCGACTGACAGGAGCTGATCTTAACCTATGGACAGCAACCTGCGTTTATATATCCTTGCAATATCTTCGCCTCCAAAATATCTGCTATAACGTCTATCCCTATGTGCCGGGACGCACGGTATAACGGGACAATTTCTCTCCCGGACACTCAGACTATCAGCTATTACTCTGTAGTACTAATTCCTTTAACTAGCTAAACTCTATCTAGCTTACTTCCGTAATTACTAAAGCTGATTAGTTAGTACAACTTACCCCACAGGCGAGCGGTCGACACGGGCGAGCGGTCCACTTTTGCCAACCCCTCACCAAAACCACCATATTATAGCCTAAAACCACCACATTATAGCCTAAAACCACAACTATCACCGAAGTGACGACTAGTTCTTTCACCAGGAATCAAGAGCGGTTGGTCACTGCCTTGGCCGCTTACTTGCTTCTGGGCCCGACTCAAGACACTTCGTAGGTCTTGGTCTTTTCTTCATTGATGTATTACGGCTTTGATTCTGTATCAAAAGCTGCTTATGTTTAATAAGGTACTTGTATTGGGAGAGCAAACGCTGGTAGTCGAGCGCTTGTGAGTCTTGTAGAAAGGTTGGATTCAATTTATTGAACCAATAAAGAAAGAATTTCAAGTCTGCTTCCGTCATCATAACATCATATATAAAATCAGTATTTGACATCCCAGCTAGCGGTGCTGAAGAGGGGTGCAGCTTAAGCTCTATTTTAGCACTGTTAGCTAGACTGTTAAATACTGATTTTATGTATGATGTAAGGCGCGCTGCGGGCGCGCGCTCTTTGCCTCTGGCGGCCCCTACGGAGAGTAGATTTTTTTTAATACTTTTTCTAGCTACTCTGGCTGTTCTGGCTACTCTGGCTATTCTGGCTATTCTGGCTATTCTGGCTGGTCTGGCTATTCTGGCTGGTTTTCGAGCAGGTTTTTTTTGGCTCATTTTTTGGCTGATTTTTTGGCTCGTTTTTTGAGCTCGTTGGGCTGGCGGAGATTCTGGTGTTCGTTACGTGACTAGACGCTATCCAAAAATGGAGATTCCTGAATCCTTGCGTAGCACGCTAATCAGCGCAGAGCTTCTTAGAGCCAATCCGAACGCGTTTCTTCGCGCACGAAACCCCTCCGGGACCGATTGTAATATGCAGCTAAAGCTGCAATCGGTTTTGGGAAGTAGCGGAATCGAAGACTTTCAGGTGTTTCCTCGTCATTTGTAATAATATCAAGGTAGCGTTCCAGTGCAAGACAAGAGCAAAAGCCACATGATTGCCCATCTAGATTTAGAGGTAGCTAAACGCAGGAGTTAGCCAATAAGATACTGCAACAATTTGACTCACGTAGAGCATTCAATACTTACAGAATGGACGTCTAGCTTAAGGTTAGAAAATGCCGGATTTATTCCTTGTAGTGCCTTTTCTGAAGAGTTTTTGCACTTCTTAGATAGGTTATTGGGTATATCATAAGTAGTAATAAAATGCTTCTCTAAGTCGAGGATAAATATCGCCTAATACTACGGCCAGTCGTGCTAGAAGGATTCACCATGTTCACATAGAATAGAAAAACGAGTCTCTTAACGTTGTCGCTGAATATATGCTCCATAAAAGGTCTCGTAATATCGAGTCCCAGAGATTTAATAATAACATAGTCATGTAGTAGCGATATTGATTCAAGGAATCGGGGGACAGCGTCGTTTAACTAATATCTAGGGGTGAATCAAGCAAGATCCTTCTGCAGTTCCTATTTGCTACTATAGTTAAACCATTCTAGGTTAGAACATTGCCTAACAAAATTTAGCAAGATGGATTCGATTGATAGATCCTAGTAAGTGTTTTCCATTAGTCCGTCTTGAATATATCTTGCAGAGGGGCATTTTCCTCGCTTAAGTAAATATTCTCAGAGTCTTCTAAAGGGTCTCTAGAAGTTATCCATAACAAGGACTGTAGAGCCGCATTTATTTTTACCTTTAACGCACTATTAGTACTCTAATAGCGGATCAAATGCGTCCTTGAACTCGTAGTTTATTGTAATAGCGAAGTTTCTGCTAGTATTTCACATAGCGTGGTATTTGCGCTTAGAGAGCGTGCATATGATCTCTCCTAGCTTCTAGACAACGATCTCAAATTCGATGCCTTGTTCTCTTAACTAGAGTGGGCCTAGAATAAAGTTGTGATGGCGAACGAACTGCGAACAATTGATTCCAAGAAGCGGAGGCTCTTTCTTGATATAGTCTTCAAATTCTACAATAATCTCTTAATAGACAATAAGCTAATGCTTATCTACGCCTATAAGCAATAGGTTTGCAGACTCTATATTAGCATCTTCTATACGTATTAAGGTTAGGGTATTAGGATTAAAGCTTAAATACTAGTAGGCTGAATTAACCCTAGGTATTCGAGGTCTAAGATTAAGTAGTTCAGCATCTAGTATCTTATTAACTTGGTGTTCCTTTAGTAGGTCACAGATAAGGTATGCACAATGTCGTCGGGGCTGGTAAATCTAATTCTAGAAATCTTATTTTAGATCAAGTAATGGTCGTAACGTCTCTTCGAGTGTAGGAATAGGGCTAGGATTAATAGCAGCCAATAAATCCGCGTATGCCTCTAAGTAACCAGAAGGATAGGTTTAAAGCACAAACTTCTGTACTGCCTTCTTGTCTTCGGACGCGTTTTCACACCCACCCCAAAAGTTGGCAAAAGCTTCGCCAAGAGGGGTCGACTCCAGCTGTAGCAAAAGATAGCCACGTTCAGGAACTCCACTGTCTTCAAGCTTGACTTGTGCTTTCTGAATAGTTGAGACCATATTCTCAAAAAGTTGTGAGGGTTCGCATGGATATCGTGGAGTCGATGCTTGCTCCTTGAAGTGGTTATGTGGCAAGGTAAGCTGCGGTAGAGAGAGCTGATGTAGAGGTTCCTGGGGGCTTGTCGGGACCATATCTCTAGAAGTAATAATGGTTGCGGCCATCTGCCCAAGAGCTTGCAACATGTCTTGGATCTTGGCGTCACTAGTTTTCGCCTCAGTAGTATCGTTCTTGTCTTGAGTGTCAAAGCATCTAGAATCCTAAGCCGCTGCCACTGTCGCGATGCCTTTAGCTCTTAACAATGTCGAATCTTCAGTCAAGAACATGCACACTCTATCTAGGAGTTATTCGAAGATGTTATCAGTTTAGGACTTGTATTTTTTTTAATCTAATCCGCGAGTTGGTGCACTCGCTGCTTCCCAGTCTTTGGCGCTGAGTGAAGCTGACGTCCCTCGGTCTACTTCCCTATTGAAGGAGGCTCTTCTAAGGCTTTTAATTGGATGTCGACGTCCAACAACGAATTCGTTTGCTGTTGCAACTGAGTGCGAAGGACCTTGATAGAAGCTTCCTCAGTCACCTTAGCAGACATGTTTCGTAGCGTGCAGGTGCGTGAACATAAGAGGTAATATGTGAGCGTCGAACTTAGATGTGCAACCAATCAGCATCGCAGCACAGACACCGATATGTCGAGAGGTTGGTAACACTGCCAGGAAGGCGGCTCTAATTGGCTATATTACTTAGCCACTAATTCGCACCGAGGGCAATGAGTAGGTAAACCAGGCACCAGCCTACTATAGTAGTTGAGATAGCAGACGATAATAAGGATAGGCACTAAGTATAGCATAATGTGCAAAAAGAGCCTTATTTGTATAGAAAGCGCTACGCAACCTTAGGTCTATACGCTTATCCTATAGTTGTAACGGCGCAGGCAAGACTACTCGGATCAGTATCGGCAGTAGCGTCACTCAGAGGCATATGGGAGTGCGTGGGACATTAAACGAGCCTTGATTCGAATAGACACCTATAGGCCTTGTACGAAAGGATATCAAAAGTCTACAGAGCTAGCTACAGGGAGTGTCTCAATATATACCTATCCTAGTCGGGTCCGAATTGGATCCGATCAGGAACGGTAGCTGATGAGGGGGCGTCTGATACTTCCTCCGATCCGGCTCCGGGATTGGTCTAATGCTTAGCGGGGTTGTAACATCGTTACAATAGTAATATGAACTAATTAACCTACCTAGTAGTCCTAAAACTAGAAGAACACGTAGCGCCACTAATAGGACTATTAACTACATAAAGCTAGATGCTTTTCTATAGCGAATTATAAGCTAAAAAATATAAAGATAGGATTATTATAATATACAGTTGTCAGAATGTGGGCATAGTTTAGACAGTTGATAGAATCCAGGTGCTTAAGCACACCCGGATTCTGTGAGCAGCGATTACACATGATCCGCTGCTATCCGGATCACCTATAACAGCACACGCTGCAGATTAAGCCGCAGTATCTAGAGTCCTTGTGTACAGCTAATAAGAGCGACCTTCGCTAAGGCTATAACCTAGCCGAGGCTGAAACTAGAGGCTCTATCTTATATAAAAAGCAATAGCTAGACGACTCTAAAAGAGGCGCGCAGGCGCGCCTCTAAGGAGAATAAAAAAAGATTAACGATTAATTAGGATCAATTTAATCTATACATAATTATCACAGCTATTTACTATAGTTTTATTCTTATCTTTAAGAACTATTACTATTGGATAATTAAGAGTCTTACTACCTCTACTAATTCGTTAATAACTAATTAACTAATCTAAATCTAATATAAACGCGTAAGCTAATTAGCAGAACGCGACAGTGCTACTACGCGATAAGTATAACTACCGCGCTTAGTATAACTAACTAGAAGCGCGCTATATTACCTATAATTTGTAGAAATAGGTTAATTCTAATAGAATAAAGCTGCTTTTAACAGAGCCGACCCCTCCGAAGCTTCTAGAGTACGGCGACTATACGCTAATTAATACGCTACCTATAGGGTAAGTACTAACTAAGTTAACTAACTTATCTGTAACGATGTTACAACTTCGCCATGTATCGGACCAATCCCAGAGCCGGATCGGAGGTAGTACTCGCCGCCCTCTTCATCAACCACTCGTTGTGAGGTCGGATCCGATTCGGATCCGACTAAGATAAGTATATAAGGAGACACTCCCTGTAGCTAGCTCTGTAGACTTTTGATATCCTTTCGTACAAGGCCTATAGGTGTCTATTCGAATCAAGGCTCGTTTGATGTCCCACGCACTCCCATATGCCTCTGAGTGACACTACCGCCGATACTGATCCGAGTAGTCTTGCCTGCGCCGTTACATTATCTATCTTAGGTTAGTAAGCTTATAAAGACGATCTTAAGGTCTATAAGCTTAAAATAGAGCTATATAAGATAGATTTCGCTAAGTATAAGGCCGAAGTAGCAAACCTCTAGTAGATTAAGATTCTAATCTAA